GTCATGAAGGCAGCAACACTTAATAGTTTTGGAAAAAGACAATGATAATTATCAGTTTCTACTGACTTGAATGGTAACAAATTTATATTTTTTAGATTTGTTAGATGAAAAAAGTCTGTAATGAAGAGAGTATTGAAATGCAATGTTTTATGTTACCACAGAAAGTAGAATCCAGGTGTTAGTACCTTTTCGATGTTTATTCTTAACTGTTATGAGCGTTTCATTATTAGCTTTAATTTATTTAACGTTTTTATGCTATATAGAATCATTTCCAAAAGGTATCAATACCACTTTTGGATGAACTACATTTGGTATATAATCTTGAAGTGAAAAAGTTGTAAACTATTAACTTCAGTTTTTGAAATAGTTTTATATCACCATGTATTACCGTGAACTCTAGAAGTCATCAAAGTTTACTTCAAACAAATATTTACATTTGGCTTAAATAAGTTTCAACCAAACATTCCGATTGTGGATGTTTAAATTTAGGTTTTTTTTGTTTTAGGAAATGTGTTTTGGTAATATATATGTATTTTTTGTTGTATTTCAGTAGTTACATGTGAATACCTTTTAGCAGTATTGTTTTAAGACTAGAATGGCCTTCAAGAAACATTGTTTAGGTTGAAATTGTTTTTGACAGCTCTGGAGTATCTATGAATTAGGTCTGTAATTAGCATTTAAAAGCCCCAAAATTGATGAAAACAGTTGGTATTATGGTTGCTCAGACAAAAAAAAAATTAATACTGCATTGTTTAGACATTTGAGGAAATACAGTGTACATTGTGAATTTTCTATTTTTGTATCATTCTCTATGGGTTTTTAAGTGCTTCTGTATGTTATTTTGGATAATAGTCAAGTTTGTGTTTCATTCATTTATGCTGTCATTAGTTTGATATTAGTTTCTGGTAACAATAAACAGTTTTTGTCATTTGGTTATTACTGATGTTTGTAAGAGGAAAAGAATTTATTAAAATAAAATCGTTTAATAAAAAGCAGTTGTATTTATTACAATAAAATCATTTAACAAAACCATTTGTTGTATTGTTTTTAGCTTTACAAAGGAGTTGGTTCTTCTACACATCAGTGCTTTAATTGAAAATGTTGTTGCATCTCTTCTCTCACTATTAATCATCAGCCCAACTGGAAAACTGATGATCAACTCGTGTCAAGTTCATCGGTTATCTGATTGGTACACAATGCTCCATAACCCTAATCCTGGCTATAAAACTACTTTACGGTGTACACAGGAGGCTGTATACCCATTGTAAGTGGTGATTCTCAAACTTGGTTATTATATACATATAATTCAAGGACAATGAGTGACTTGGTGATCCATCTAGGCCATCTCATCCACTATACTTAACACTAAAATTAAAATAAAACTTTCAAAGCCAGACCTTTTCATTCAAGTAGTTATCAAAACTTCCCGTAAACTCCCTTAAAATAACTGCATCTACCACATCTGAAAGAAACCCGTTATAAAGGCCAACCACTCTGTTAGAAAACTAAAGCTGTCTTAGCTGAAGATGACTCCAACCTTAGCAAAATTTCTATTTTTGTCCTGCAGTCATACCTTTAACTATTAAAAAAGATGATGTATCAACATTATCAGTTCTCTTAATGATCTTAATTATCTCAATCAGATCCCCTCTAACTCTTCTTTGTTCAATAGAAAATAATTTCAGTGATTGTAACCTGTCCTCATATGAGAATGTTTCCATATCAGGTATCATCGTAGTAGCCCACCATTGTCACCATGAAATACTAAGAACTTATGAGTGAATATAAAATATATTTCCACCATTATCAATTATTACATACCTAGAAATAATGTAAAGAAGAACTGCTGACTTAAGTGACGGTTGTTTGAACTGCTATATCAAGTGCCGACTTAAGTGACGGTTGTTTGAACTGCTATATCAAGTGCTGACTTAAGTGACGGTTGTTTGAACTGCTATATCAAGTGCCAACTTAATTGGCGGTTGTTTGAACTGCTATATCAAGTGCCGACTTAAGTGATGGTTGTTTGTCCTGCTTACATTAAGTAGCCTAAGAGCGATCCAGCATGGGAGTTTTGTTTTATTTCAAACTTAGAAGCACATTATTATTCCTAGTAAAATCATATTTTTAATATGAATAATATTTATTGCTACTTATTCAAAAACAGCACAAGAGTTATCAGTACTGTTTTGTAAGAACTTGTGAAATTTGAAATAAATCATTATGCTGTCCTCAGGCCTAATGAGAATTCCTTATTTAATATGTGAAGTATATAGTATTGAGCATGGTTATGTTTAATCTTTGGATATATTTGTTCTTGTGGTATAATTTTTACTGCTGTTTTACTTTTTAGGTATTCTATAGTCTTTATCGACTATGCCCTGGTTCTTGTTTTACTCTTCTTGTGTCGACCTATTCTTGTTGGAAAAGTCCTACGAGGAGAAGGAAAAAAATCAGTTTATCTTACAATGTACTTGATTCCAGGTTTAGCAGTCCTCCATGCAACATGTTGTGGACTTCTGTGTAAGTATCATTATACTTTGGAAAGCTGTTTATCAAGTTGTTGTAAAACTGTTTTTTTACTTTTTTTTAAGGAATCAGTAGTCAGATATCTGTTGTTCTACCAGAATTTATGTTGATATTATTACTGATTTCAATCACTGAAAACTGTGGTATGTTTGAATTTTGTTTTATTGAGAATTTGGCCAAAATCCTGCACTTGTAAAAAATAAAATAAAACCAAACAAAGAATTTCAAGATAAGATGTTCTTATGTTACTACTTACCTACTCATTAATTAAACAAATTCAGTGTGGTGCAAGTTAGTTACATTCTGTTTGTGTCTTGTTCATTTTGTGTAGCTGTAATTGTGTTGCTGCCTTCATGACATGTGTATCTTTGTGCTACATTCTGTTTATGTCTTGTTTATTTCGTGTGGCTGTAATTCTATTGCTGCCTTCATGACACGTGTATCTTTGTGCTACATTCTGTTTGTGTCTTGTTTATTTTGTATGGCTGCCTTCATGACACGTGTATCTTTGTGCTACACTCTGTTTGTGTCTTGTTTATTTTGTGTGGCTGCCTTCATGACACGAGTATCTTTGTGCTACATTCTGTTTGTGTCTTGTTTATTTTTAATTCCTGCACCTATAGGGCCTGTGCCTAAATCTTTGAAACACCTAGCGACACCTCTGTCTAATAGTTTTGGAAAAAGGCAATGATAATTCCTGCACCTATAGGGCCCGTGCCTAAATCTTTGAAACACCTAGCGACACCTCTGTCTAATAGTTTTGGAAAACGGCTATAACAACCGTTTCAGTATGATATCGATCATGGTTTTTCAAGACACCGACTGGGGATTTAGGGCACTGTCAAATGGTATTGGGGCATGGCCCCATGTGCCATTACCTAGTGATGTCTCTGCTATTAGAATATACCAACTTGTAGGTAAGCTAGTATTTATGTAAAAGGATGAATTAAGGAAAATGTTCACAAGAACAATGTTCAGAGTACTAGTATCAGGGTGGATAGTTTAGGCATAAATATTTGATTGTATTTTATGTGGAGTTTCAAATTACAAAACATATTTTGTGAGACCTATGTTTGGGATTCTAGTTACTAGGGTAAACATCTTCCGATGAGAACTTCTTATTGGGTCTTATGTGAATGTGTGAATTACAAAAAAATGTTTGCAAGAATAATACTCGGGATGCTAGTCACATGGGTGAAAGTATTCAAAAACAAAAATTTTAGTTTTATACAATTATAACACTGCTGTCAAGTCACAAGTTCATGATTTGTGCTTTACATGCAAATATTCCAAGAATATGTTGCTCCACATTCTGTCAAAACAGTGTACGTGTCTTCCAATTAAAAATGGTACTTTTGTTATGATCAAAACAGTGTACGTGTCTTCCAATTAAAAATGGTACTTTTGTTACATGATCAAAACAGTGTACTGTCTTCCAATTAAAAATGGTACTTTTGTTACATGATCAAAACAGTGTAC